ACCTTCAGTCTGCTGCACTCTGATGGTCACGACTTCCCTACATGACTAAAGCCAGTCGCTAGTCAGCATCAGATCAATTTTTCAAGTATTGGTTTTTGTAGGGATTTTGTTTGTTTGGTCCTAGGTTCGAACCCCGGGGGTGCGTACCACTGAAGAGTCCCCAACTAGGACGGGGAAACAACTGTCCAGTACTTCCAGCTGGTTTTCCAATGGTTCTCTAACTGATGTCAGCTTTTCACCTTGTAAATGACTTTAAAGGCGCAGGCTGTAGAGATAGGGTGATCATTATCGACCAAATGTTCAATGATCTTATTACTCCACTTCCACCTCTTCATAACCATGCAGGATACATCAATTATTACGTCAATTGTTACTATTACATATGTAATTAAAAAATAACCCTAAGAAAATTAACCAAAATCATTTATCATTTGAACTGAAATAAATTCTTTCAAATGAATATTTCGCAAACTTTTTATGTCTAATATGCAAAGGCGATTTAACAAAATACTGAAAAGACAGATTGTGCCAGTCTGAACTTTAAAGGTAATATACTTTCTTGTAAATAGTTAACTTTACCTTGGGAAGCACAAGAACTGTATGTTTTTTAGCCAATGACATTTTTGGAAAAGCATCTAACATTAAGTTGACATTCACCTCCTTTTAAATTTTATAAAACATGTTTCGCATTGGACTGGAGTAAAAATGTTTAATTCAGTATTAATTTGTCAAGGTAAATGAAGTTTTTGAGCATTTGCTTTTTGAATGACTGAACAAGAAGAAAATTTGTTAACTACAGTATTTATTTCATTTATTTATTTATTCGTCCTGTAGAATCCCAGTGGAACATATGATTCCAGGGGAACAGTGCTATTTCTCTCTGTTCTCTAAGGTTACTTTAATCTGATAACACAGTCACCCATCAGCTGTCATTCCTCCTCATGAATTTTATTTACCGGTTCTAGACCCGGCAAAAGACAGAAGGTTGGAAGTGGTGCTAGTGGCCTTACCTAATAAAATCATTCCAATTTATCTAGAAGCTTCAAAGCATTAGCATTATTATTGTTTCCTTTAATTCCTAGAGGATCATAGGCCTTCAGCCGTGCGTTTCAATTGCGTTCGGTTCACTCCTAGAGTCTTCACCTTGCTCCAAGTCTACCCACAAGCCTTCATCTCCTCTTCACATGACCTCCTCCAAGTCACCCTCGCACTGACGACCAACTCGCCGCTTCCCTTTCTGGTTCCACTCGAGCAATGGCTTGCCTAGTGATGTCACTTGATGGTTTCCACAGAGTATGACCAGCCAATCCATCTCTATTTCTTCCTCCCGATTTGTTTCGTAATCGGTTCCTGGTTGGTTCGCCCCCAGAGATCTCTGTTGCTGATCTTTTCTGGCCGACCATCTGATCTTGAGCGGAGTATTGAGCGAAGACAACTGTTAATGAGGGTATAAAGTTTGTTTGAGATGCTCTTTATGACGCGCAGTGCAAGTCTCTGATCCGTATAGTGAGTAGCACTGACTTCACATTGGAGTTGAAATTCCAGATCTTATTCTCATTTTGATGCTGAGTGCTGTTGACCTCCACACAGACTTGACTTGAGTAATGAAAGCTTGTGTTGCTTTTCCGATTCTTGCTTTGATATCCTCGTCAGTTCCACCAACCTGTAGTTGAAACGATGCTTCCCATGTAGGTAAAACAGGTTGTTTCTTTCAGGTTCCTTCCATTTATGCTGATTGTTGTCCGTTGTTGTCTGTTGTTTTTGTTGCTGTTGGTGGTGTTGCCCAGGAATCTTCATCACCTCCGTTTTCTCTATGTTCACCTGAACTCCTTCCTATCTTTGATGCTTCTTCAGCCAACTTGTTGCTTTTGGCTTGCATATCTCCCAGTTTGTGGGAAATCAGACATATATCATCGGTGAAGTCCAGATCCTCCAGGTTTTTTTGTATGAGTCCATTTTATGCCTGTTTCCTCATTGCCCGCTGTTTGTCGCATTATCCAATCTACTGCAATCAGGAAAATCATTGGCGATAGTAGGCAGCCTTGTCTTACTCCTGTCCTCACTTCGCAAGATTTCGTAAGTTTCCCGTTGTGGATTACTTGGCATGTAGCATTGTCGTACAGGAGTTGGATGAGATGTATAATTGTCGGTGGCACCCCATAGTAGCGAAGTAGTTTCCAAATCACCTCTCGATCGACTCTGTTGAAGGCCTTTTCAAAGTCGATGAGGTTGAGATAGAGAGGTGACTGCTATTCCAAGCTTTGTTCAATGATGATCCGTAATGTGTCGATCTGATCAATGCATGACTTGTCTCTCCTGAATTCATCCTGTTCCGGTCGAAGTTTTGCATCCAGAGCGTGTTTGATTCTCTCCAGGATGATGCGGCTTAGTATTTTGCTGTCCATCCCAAGCAAAACACATATATAGCCTATAACATGGATCATAGAAAATACACAGTGAAATCCATAAATCTCATGTTGGAAAAATATTGGCCATCGGATCGGGTCCCAGTGGCTTAATGGTCTGCGAGCTAGCTCGCCTTGTAACCAGAAGGTCCGGCGTCCAAACCGCGGTAGGTGTGTACTGATGAAGAGTCCTAAACTAGAACGGAGGATACAGCTGTCCACTACTCCTAGCTGGTTTTCCAATGGTTTTCTAAATGACGTCAGCTCATGATGAAATCCTGTAACCAAAATAAGAAAAATTAATGTGAAAACTCAAAACTTATTCCAAAGAATTCATTTCTTCTAGCATGTTTCATTTTTATCACTTCACTCTTCACTCTTTTTTTCTAACTTAAGCAAGTATCATCAGTTTCTAAGTTGGTTACTCTTTACCTCTTTTGTGTTCATGCAACCTGATTATTAATGCTTCTAGGGAGTAGAATGTAGCACAAAAAATATGTCGAGTAAACCATTTGAGTTAAGAAATTCAAACAACTGAAGTTCAGTTAAATTCTCACGACAACTGGCTGTTTTTACAATACTCGAAATATAGAGTAATATATTTATATATAAGCTGTGTAAAAGGCCTGTATACCTATTAACTCTCCATATAGAACACTCCAAACATTGGTACCAACTAATTCACCTTTATTTATTTCCATGTGATGAAAGTCACCAGTAACAGTAGGAAAGTATTCTTCTTTGATTTTCTGTAAAGAAAATTAAGATGAGTGGGTGGGTCTACCCGCCAGACACGCAAATGCTTCATGGTTCGATTCCCGGCCGACTCACGCCTTTACCTTGCTAAGCCATTAATATGACTGGTAAAGAAGGAAGGTTGGGCTGGGCATGAGGCTAGCAACGTAATCCCGAAAATAAAGTAAACACCATTGCTACAGAAACTTCAAAGCTCTCGCTTGAAGCCTTGTCTTCCACTGGGTTGGGTATACCTACGAAATTGCATTGAGTCATTAGTCGTTCTGATAAAAGATGCACTGACGACTAAAGTTTGGCCAGTATGCTGTTAACGACATATAATATCTTTAATTCTCTCACAGGAAAAGTCTAAATGTAGGAAGAACAACTGTTAACTGCCACACTTGCTTCTCATTCTGTTCTCCTTGTAATAAACATAAATATAATAAAATCTTTGCAAATCAAAACTTGAAAATCAATCTGATGGTCACTAGCGACTGGTTCCATACTGAAAGTTACATGGAGTGCTAGCGGGAGGTTGTATTCAGCGACAGCAACAAAGTCAGATGAGAGAACAGTTACTCGCCAATGACATCGGCTGGCGGTTGCGCCACATACATCACGAATTGGCAGAAGTTGGAGTTTATATGCTAATCATTGGATCAAGTCCCATTGGCTAAATAGTCTACAAGCTCGCCTTGTAACTTCAAGCTATTGGATACGAACCTTGGTGACTGAGTGCAGCTGAAGAGTCCCAAACACTACGGCGAGAGAGCTGTCCAATATTCTCAGGTTTTCCAGTAGTTCTCTAACTGATTTCCACTCGTTATCAAATCTATAAACAAATGTATCCATCTCAACTGTTATGAGTCATACGATAATATGCCTGCCCCTACTATCATGTTGTCATATAAAAAAGTAAAAAATAGTATTTGAGACTATTTACCTCGTCTACCGCATCAATATGAATACAAAAAGTCTTACAATACATCAAATTTGTATTCTTCATCTCATTTGTTATATAAATCAGCCCTACAATGAAAGTAATACAAACTACAATCTTCAATTTTATTGGTTCGTTTGCTTGAAGAACAAATTTTTCCCCTAATTTTTATACATGCAAATATGACATATATACAACACAAGTATGCTTAAGCGTATTTTACGCGGAGATATATATGTGTATATGTCTAGCCCACATATATATGTATATATACAGAGTAACAATATAATACGTGATTATTAAAATATGTTCGCGTGTACATAAATACTCACCCACACACACACCACACACACTCACAACTATGGATAATCAAAGCAACTAAATTATATTTTATTGGAATTCATTTGATGAGGAAAGCACTAACAGTTATAAAAATTATAATCTATGCTATTTCCTTCTACGAATCTAATTATCCTCATTGTATATGAGGAGACTAAAGCAAAAATGAAGTAATTCATTAGGATAACTCTCCATAACTACTCCATTGATCTACTTCAATTTTAAAGCAAAACTCAACAACAAAGATGATAAATGTGTATTGTATAAAAAGCCGATAGTTTTATGGTCTTGCATTCCTAACGAAATGAGAATGACGCATATTTGAACAGGAATAAAACAATGGATAACTAACTGGATTTATTCAATCAAAATGAATTCTGCAAAACACTAAGCAGTACTGTTTGTATACACTTGATGCGATGAATTAATTTACTTAGTCGTATGTAAAAAAAAAACAAGAGAGGCGAAGATGGATACATTTTCGCGCCAAATTTTATGTTCAAAAGTAGCATTTATAGTGTAACATATTAATAATAATAGTGTTAATTAAAACCATCTGTGTGTATTGAACAACAACAATGAATACATTACACTGGGCTAGTGGAACAAAAGCTGCCAATATTGATGGTACAATGGGAGTTTATGGACAGTTGGATAAGTGAGTCCCTTGTTTTTTGATGTATAGTTCATTTTTCATTTCACCTTCTGGGGGGAAACAATTGACCTGTCAGATAAGGCTTTAGAGTTTTTGAAATGATAGGTGCATGGTTCAAGTCCCTATGGAAATGCCACCCCTAACTCAAAATGAAAGTACATCTGGTTTAACAGTTCCAAATAGGATGAAATGCACATCTTGAATTTTACTGACAGCCATCGTCAGCCAGAATAATAATAGTAATAATAAACCTTTATTTTGGACACATAGTACAAAACTTTTCAGCACATTTAGTTCCAAGATATTTCGTCTTCGTACAGGATTTACATGTAAAGGAATAATCTGAAGTATATCATATGACACAATGTTACTTTCCTCCAAGAACTGCACAGTGTTTTGCTGAAAGCTAACTGGATCTATATGCGAGTTCGTGTAGTGACTATCTGACACAGTTTTATGATTAAGAAATGAAGAAGAGTTAAGGCATTTTGATGGTTGGAAATTCTTGTAGTTCAGTGATTTCAGCAGACCTCCAAACCACTACACTGAACCTCAAGCTTCCTCAGTCAGCATCATTCTTCTTCATCTTCATTGTCATACAAGTTACGAATGCAGCTATAGCACCAAAATAAGATTCATCCTAAAAAAAGTCTTTTTCTAGTATAAAAGACAGTTTCTGTTGTTAGTGTACTATAAAATTAACAATATGAGTGATTATAGAAACAGAAATATGTCGAAGAAAGAACAGACACTGGTGCAGAATAACATGGATCCATTTTATTTCGTTGGTCCTCATCAGCTGCATGTAACCTATAATCTTTAATAAATAAAAGTTAGCGTAAAATTTAGCATACTTCTGTCGTCAACAAGCATCTTATTAGAGTGTTAGGTAAAACTTCGGGACGCTAAGGTAGCTGAAGTGTAAGTATATGTACATATATATAACTTGTTAAAGAGAGGCTTCTAGAAAATCAGTTGAAAAGTTTGTTCTTAAGGTGGTAACAAAAAATTAGTAACACTTATATGGTTAGGTAAGAGAAGATCAAGATCAGGTGTGCAAGAGGTCAGATGAAAAGGTGATGATGTAATACGGTGAGTAGAACTCATAAAGTCAAGAAAAATTATCTCTTATGGAAGTCAAACAGAAGAAACGAGGTGAGGAGGGGAGCTGAAAGGATTAGTTAGTGAAGTTAGAAGACCAAGAGTTATTGAGGAATGAGTCAGCAGGGTAATTGCAGTCCAACGACAGATTCCTTTTGGACCCATAGGTCAGGTTTCAGACGTTTTATTGCGATAGCCTCAGCAAACCAAAGAAGACTTGAGCTGTTTTGTCTGTTAATTATTCTGAATGATGCCAGCGCGTCTACTCGGTGTCCAGTTTCTATCAGGTGTTTGGTAATTGAAGAGCCTAAATTACTTGGCTCCTTTAACCAGAAGCTCCTTGGTACATGTCCGAAGAATCTGACGTAGGCCCTTCTTTCTCTTCCTCCAGTGTAACTGCTTCCGCAGACACAATTGAATTGTATATACAGTTGTAGGTAACATATGAGGGGTACTTGTCGATCTTTGCCTGCACCAACGAGGAAGGTGTTCGGAGCACAGAGATTAGTTTCGCTGCAGGATACATCCTGAACAGTGCTGTGCTTAATCTTTTATTTATGATTCTCATAGTATCATCGCCTTTGAAGTCGAGTTTGATGATAACTGTGATTCTGGAAACAGATGTTTTTAAATAAATCCTTCAAATTGGAACAAAACCCTGGAATTAGATTATCAGTAGTCTGTTGATTCCACTGACCGTCAGGTTACATTGAACGATTTAGTATGTATACATGTTTGAAATCAACCTTCTATTTAAAAAAACCTCCAGTCTGCTACCTCTGAAGAGTTTCTGATTCCTGATATCAGGTAGTATGGATTTCACGTAAAAGGCATACTGAGAGTTTGAAGCAATATTAAAGTTGTTTTGATGAATTCGCCTCCTTTTAGATGACCTGTTTCATTAGTGAATTTGTGAGTTTCTTCTTAAATTCTGTCTTAAAGGTAAATTTCATTGTTGTTTTTTCTTATAAAACGATTTACGCACTCACCTACAATGACACGATGTATAGATGACCAATAATGATACACAGTAATTTAAAGCTGATTCACTCCTGTGTGTATTTTCGTCCATAATACTTCTAGAATGATTTAGCTGAGTATGATGCCAATGTGCGTCGGTGGCACAGTGGTTAGGACTCTCACCGGCCATGCACATGGTCCGGGGTTTGACCCCCTGCCGACGCACACCTGATATCAATGGTCGGCCTGTAAAATTTGGGCTACCCGTATCGCATGCTGAGAATTCCATACTTGTACCGAAAATACGGTGTGGAATCAAGCTGTAATCAAAAATAATAAAATAACTTCTCTTAAACTTTCACCTACCTGCATCTTTAAAAAATGTATAACGCGTTATGACTGAAGGTAAAATGAATGTATCAAACTGTCAAACTTTTGCTAGTTAACTCATGACACCTAGCTGTATACCATATCATAACTTCACTGCAGTCACCAGCAGTAATACTTAGATATCACAGGGCTGCATGATAAGTTATTGTTTGTTAGGCTTTGAGACTGAGGCGAAATGCCAACCAAGGCTAACAGTCGGACTTATTATCTCAACCGATAGGATGCTGGACTAATAGTTCGGGTGGCTGTGCTTCGAATCCTAGATTTTCGTTACTCCTTCACGCTACATACTACTGATTGATTGAGATGAGTAGTTGGACACCACTCACATCAGCTAGTAGTAGTTGCTAGTCGGTTAGATGAAAATGATCTAAACACCAGTTGGCCGTTTCTTTCGATTAAGTTTGAGCCTACCACTGGTGCAGCCGGTTTGACTCAGCCGAGAAAGTCAAACCAGTTCAAACCACCCACCTGAGTAATCACAGTTTCCAAATGAAACCATGGTGAAATAATCACCTCGATTTGTGAAAAGTGAGAATTAATTTGCAAACTGCGGATTTGATTTATAAGAATAACAGTCTGACAACACAAGACTATTTCGGACGGTCTCAACAACAGTATATATATATATATGGTTTAATTTCTTCCCAGTATAACTGGAATTCAGTACTCCTACAAGTAGTTTATTTTTGTGCAAATTTCTGAAAAACCCTCCTACTTCAACACCACAATTTTGCTCTAGCATTATCGTCTCTTCACGAGAAAATTATTAACAGCATAGCAAGCAACAATTCCTCAAATTTCATGCTTTACTAATCGAATTTCTCTCTCTTGTCATCCCGAGAAAACAATTCATCATGACAACACAATTTATCTGTCTTGCTTTCTTTCAAGAGATAAGAGATATCTCCACAATAAGTGAAGTGTTCCTTTTGTCTGTTATAATTACGTGGTTAGCAGACCTAAACAAATTTATGGAAGTGATTAGTTTGGAAACAGTAAAAAGACAAAAGATCAGTGTCTGATATAAAATAATGAGGAGACAAAGTGTCGTTTTCCTAATCAATGAATCAGACTGATGCAAAAATCTAACTTCAATGGCTCAGTGGCTAATGAAATTAATTAATATCCATATAACTCATATATGATACTGACAATCACAAGGACACATATTTAGTTATAAAAGGTATATATCGTCTGTAAATAAATCTCAATTGATACAGTCATTTAATTATTCCATAAATAGTCAGTGTTTGTAACTCTTAATTAGTAATCATTCCGGACTAATGTTACTTTACTTCCTGCCAATTACTCTTGTGATTGTGAAATTATGTTCAAATCTTTAATGTAATATAATTCACATTTTCATCGTTCAGGTTGTAACCAGTTGAGAAGAATCTAGAATAATAAAGATGAGCTCATATCATCCTGGTACAATTGTTGTTCTTGCTTTGTTCAAATCCATTTTCTTCGTAATAGTAAATTCTAGTTGTTTCTCAATATTTTTAGCCTCATAGTCATGCAAATTGGTAGATACACATGTAGGCTAAATGTAACTGCCTTCATTCGAGTATTGGAATTGACAAATACACATTAGCATGGCAAAATCTCTAACATATACTTAATTTGAGCCACAATATTTCACCAAATAGGAAACAATATGCAAAGACTTGGTAGGTGGAATATTTTCCCAGTGATTATTGTCAGTCTCTGGGATAAAAGTTCACTTAATACATCATTAAACTGCTTCCCAACATCAGCGAGATACTAACACAACGCCTTAGAAATGCGGTAAAAAGAGCATTCCCTGCTGCTGAATTACACTGTGTCTTAAAAACCACCCGTATTTTGCGTTCGGGAGTAAAAGACAAACTGACTAATTTTGCTTCTTCCATGTAAATCTACCAAGTTGACTGCTCCTGTGAAACCAGTTACATAGGCTGTACAATTAGGCGTGTTTCTCGTTGGATTTCCGAACATCATCCTGCGTGGTTGGTTAAGTAAAGGACAAACAAAATCTATTCGTAGCGCCATAAGATTGATGTAAACGAGGCGTCTTTAAAGTTATTTACCGCATACCAACAAATCTTAACTTTACCTTAATAGTTCGTTTACTAAATATTGCTGAGACCGTTGGGATCCACATTAAGAAGCCTAATTTATGTGTCCTAAGAACGCTTGTTCCGACATTATCCTTAACTTGGCCATCTAGATTCGAATGATCCTCAACGTTTTGTAGAAATTTCCTTAATTTTAGTTAATATTCTACTTGCTATTATATTATTATCATAATTTATGCATCTTTAATGAACTATAATTCCATTGATCTTAATTAACAAATCGATATTATTTAAAAAACACTAATATTGTTATTGACTACTAATCTAGAATATTCTGTGTATATAAACATGCATATATAATTGTAGAGTCAGAAGAGGAAATTATCGGAAAGGATATTCTTTGCTCAATTATTTTGTGTTTTGTAGATGTCTAAATGAATATTTTCGCTATATTGAAATCAGTTATTAGTTAACAGTCAGTTTCTTAAACAG